GAGATCACTGAGAGATATTATGCTTGGCATCGAGGCCAACCAAGCTAAGATTCTTCGAAAGTAGGAGGAGATTCTTGGCTATTTGAGGGGTGGGCCTGGTGGTGCTAATGGAGCTGGTGGTGCTGGTGGAGATGGAGGAGAGGATTGAGAAGACTATTTCTGTTCGAGAGTTTGGAGTGGTTGATTTATGTTCTTGTTCGGGGTTGTTTTTTGTCTCTTCTTTGAATAATTTTTGGGAAATTTCTATATTGTTGTGTAGGGGTTTCTTCTTGATAATTCTTGTAGATGTTTGTTTCTTCTGTGTGATTTTTTTTTGGGGATATTTTGTAAATAATGGTGGATAGTTGTTTTGGTGGATGTTTATCTTTGTTGTTTTTGTGGATAGTTGAAGCTATGTTTTGAATAGATGAATTGAATCATTGACATTATTGTAGACACATCATCCTTTATGAAATGAATGGTTCAATTTATCTCTCTTATTTGTTTAAAATGCATGTATAGGATTATCACTTTAATTCTTGTTAATAAATAACAAAATAGATGTGGATGTTAAGATTGCTTGTGAACATGACTAAGCACATGATCAGTTTGACACCTTGACTTAACAACCAAGACCTAAACCTCATTTTTTTTAAACCTGGTACTATCTCTATGCTTAAATTGTCAAATGTACATAAGTATTTTTTATTCTTGAGGTACAAGGTGATCAAACTTGAAAATGGAATCGCTATATAACCTACATTCCTTGAAACACCGGACATAATCAGTGGAGATGACAAAGAAAACTATGGTAAGTCTTGAGCTTTACAGTGCCTTTAAGAGGATATCAACAAATACTCAAAGTAAGTTCTTTCACTTCCGATCTCTTTCAATAATCTCATTAACTTTGCTTTGATTGACGCAACTAAAGTGATCTATTTTCATAACTCACAGGGAATTTTTGCACACACATACATATGCACCTACTTACAAAAGGATCTTAGGCCATCCATAGATCGACTTTGAGCCTTAGCTAATTCTTTTACAAAAGTATATCCCTAGTCAGCCATGCTTGAGCCTTAAATGAATGAATTCTTTTTTCGAAAAAAACCCATGTGATGACCAAGCCACAAAAGCATATATTTACCATACCTTGCTATCTGATTTCTTGCACCCTCTTGCAAATCAATATGATACAAAAAGGCAAGAAAAATAGAAAAGAAAATGGTGGCTACTGTTCAATAAAAGGAAAAATGGTGGAACCAGCCAAAATAAAAAAAGATACTATAAGACAGGGAATTGCCAAGAAAGTGAAAAATGGGAAAAATGAAAGAAAGAAATCTCATTCTCAAGCAAAATGTCGAGAAACTAGAAGGAGGTGTGCAACACTGCGTGAAAAAGATAGCTTTTGACCACCATTGACGTTATTTCATTAGCCACTGACCTCTGGCCCCATTACAACCTACAAAAAACCCTAGGTGATCTCAAGTGTGATGCATCTGTATGTTGTCTACTATAAGTGGGGTGTGTTAACTAGAATTTCTTTATTTGCATCAATATTCTTCCATGAGATTATGTCAAGGTTAAGTCTGTTTTCCTCAAAACTTCACTCTTATACTAATTACGCACTATAATCGAAGCAATTTGTTTTGCTGAGAGCATTCCGAGAAAGGTTTGTAAAATCAAAGCTATCCATGAAATGTGGAAAAAGGGGAATGATTGTTATATACCAATTCTTGTTTCTAGAATGACCATCCTATTACTCGGAGAATTCCAAATGCTGATGCAACAAGTGCTAATTTTTGCATAGAGTAAGTACCAATGGAAAAGAAATGGAGGGGATAAGTCACGATTGAAGGTTGAGTGTCCCAATGACCATGATACTAATTCATTTTTATAGTCAGCAATCTCATATACACATTTGTTCGACTGAAGTTTGTGGGTAGCTTCACTGAAAACCTTCACGAGACAACACTTGTCCACTAGGGTAAACCTAGCAGTTCAACGGCTTGTTGAATAAGCTAAATGCAACCTGATGACCTACGAAAAAGGTATTAGAAATGGATTTGCATTTTATTTAGGTTATATTACTAGAGACTAGCAATATTTAGGTTGGTGGGTGTGATTGGTACTTAAATGTAGCATATTATTGTGTCTTTTCAAGACTAATTGTACTTTGATGGAGTTCAAGTATGCACATTTTAGGTTCTAAAGTGAACAAGGGCTCGAGGGCAACAAAGGTCACGCTTAAATGTCGCACCAGCACATTAGGGAATTAAATTGAAGAGGCTGGGAAAAAGCAAGAACGTTCGAACACCAAATCACGTTCGAACATCCATTTAAACTATGACAAAACTAGCCTGCTGAGACAGTGTGTTGCAGTCAAGCACCAGGACCTTGAGGTACTTGAGTACCACGTTCGAACATCAACTAACGTTCAAATGTCCACTTGAGCTAATTGAAGGCCAGACTGATGAGACATGCCATGTTGCAGCAAACAAAGGAGGACTCTGAAGCTTTGAAGCACTTGAATGCAACGTTCGAACGCCATTAAATGTTCAAACGTCCCTTGGAATCAACTGACAGACTTCTGCATAGAGTGTGAAAATGAACTTTGACAGAAGACCACTTGAATGGAAAAGGTCAGGCCCTATCTGGCATTCGAACGCTTATAAAACAAAACCAGAAGAAACATCGAACATCCCTAAAGCAAAACAGAAGAAAACGTTAGAACGTCCTCCACAGACTGCCTGTAGAGTAGTTGGTTTCCATAGGCAGCAAACACTATTCACTCCTCCCCTCTTATCTCCTATACCCCTCCCCTTCCTTGCCTATAAATACTCTCATGTTGGGAGCTTAAAGGGCATCCTTTTCCTTGTAAAATAGAGAGTTTTTCTTCTTAGCAATTTTTTTTCTCTTGTAAATTAGAAAGTTAGTTTGCATACATTGCTTGTTTAATTTTAGTATCAACCATGATGGAGGCTTAGACTCCCCTTGTAGTTGAAGTCTTTCATTTATTTATTTTAAGTCTTTACATTTACGTTGTGACAACCATGATGGAGGCTTAGACTTCCCTTGTAATTGTACTTGCTTTTATTTACAAGTATCAAAGAGATAGCTCATCTTTTGGTTGTGGTGAAAACCCTCCAAAAGTAACTAGCTTTCTTCTACTTTTATTGTTCATGTATTTCATTTCCATTGCTTGAGCATCATTCTTTCTTAGAAGGGTGAAACTCTTCCACTTTTCTAAAGCTTTACCAAAGCCATGAAGGGTCGAAAATGATTCACTTATTCTTCATTGAAGATAATCTTTTTGTTTACTTTGCTTCACTTAGTAACTCCTCTACTTGGAGGGATGAGTATCACTCACTTTTTTAGCTTTGCCAAGGCCATTAAGAGTGAGTAGTTCCTCATTCACACTTTAGTAAAAGGTGATGAATATGTAAAGATTATCCGGAAGTTATGTTTGTGCCACTCCTATATGCTTTAATGTTTTATATTCCACTTGTTCATTGGATGATTGAATGCATTTAGCAAAGTTGAGGTACTTTGTATAACCAAGGGCTCCCTCTATGATACGAATGACTACTACATAGATAGACCTGCTGGTTCAAGGCAAGCACCTCGACTAGCTTTTTATGACAACCTTTCAATCTCCACTATTATTGCGCTTATTCAAAGGATGGATCATTAATGCCATGATTGGAAGCCTTGTAGAAACACTTGCTTGTTTGTAGATGGGTTAAGTCTCAGTACAGACAATTCTTGTAAACTTCTAAAAAGGCATCGGACAGTTCGTCTTTATCTTCAGATTAACTTGTTGTTGACACGGGAGTTAATTGAGTTATAAAGCACAAACATAACAAATCGGATAATCAATTACATGTCCTGATCCTCGAACTAAAGGGTGGCTATCACATTTTGAGAATCTTATATTTTGTCTAGAAAACTCTTGAAAAGAATCTTCTATTCTATTCAAGAAACCCCACCACTCCAAACTCTCAAAATTTTCAGTTACTTGGTCTCTATTATTTCTTACTTCAAAACACCAATCATAATTCCCTGTGGATTCGACTCTGAACTTAACCAGATTATTACTATAACTTGACCACTTGCCCTTCAGTGTTCACATTTCGGATCAAGTCAATTGTCACAAGCTACCTCAAAGGAATCAATAGCATCAAATTGACATGAACAACCCATCAGCTCAATGTCAAGTTCAAATAATCCTCTTTATGGAGATCTTAAAGCTTTCTTCCAAGAAGAGGATTTTTTGGATGAGTTGGGACATCAGTTCCGAGAAAAGCTAAAAATTGATCAAGAGTTTGACTCAAAGGATATGTCAGTTCTTGTTACAGGCACGTCAAGCATTGAGGAGTAGTTAAGTGAGATGTAGAGAAAATTGGCAGAGAAAGACGATGAGATTGCTACCCTAGCAGCCCACGTGGCTATCCAAGCTAGCGCCTCAGCACGAGAACATGTTCAAACCACTGAAGAGCCTCAAACTTCTACAATGCTAGTCACTCTAGAAGATTTGAAACATTAATTGCTAATGGAATTCAAGAATTCCAAGCATCCATGACTCCACTAGTGCTTTGGTATCGTAGGCCATATCTTGGTCATTACAATACCATCCCATTTCCTCATGGTTATCAAAAATCAAACTTTAAAAAATTTTAATGGTTTTAATCAAACTTTCAGCATGTGGGGAGTCAACCTTGTTTGACGCCCTGTTAATAAGGCAATTTGTGCAATCCTTAAAAGGGTCAGCATTCACTTGGTACACTCAATTGCAGCCAGGTTCGATCATCACATAGGATGATATGCAAAGGGCATTCTTAGCCCAATTTGTTAGTTCAAAGAAGAAAATCTCAATAATTGCCCTCGCAGATGCTCGACAAAGAACAAATGAAAGTGTTAATGACTTCATTACAAGGTGGATAAGTCTTAACCTTCAATGCTTTGAAAAGCTAAGTGAATAATTTGTAGTTCAAATGTGTTCTAATAATTTCCTTCCAAAGATTGCAACAATTGTAGGCACGGCGGAACCCCATTCATTTGACGCTCTTGTCTCCAAAGCTAGAAATGTTGAAAGACAAATAGGCCGACAAAAGAATGTGCCTCAAAAATCTCGAATGACTAAAGATAAGAAGTTTGATAATAAGAAGCAAACAAAGAAAGATGAGGCCATGCCTACATTTGTCAATGTCAATAAGAAGATAGAAAATGGAAAAGGAAATGAAATCCCTAAAAATGGGAAAGAAACTTCCAAAAATCCCTTATTCAAATAATATTTTCCTAGTTGAAAACGAGTCCATCCCCAATGTCATGCTACCAAAGGGGGAAATCCAAGTTACTTTTGTTGTCGACGGTGAGCTTACCTATCAGTATGCTTATCCGGACATGCCCCATTCAAAAAATCCGACAATTCCAACACTTCATGAGCTTATGACATAACCAAATTTGGATTGTTTGAGCGATTCTTATGAATCAGGAAATGAAGGTGGAGATGAGTGGCAAACACATGTCAGCGAGGACTAAAAAGAGGAAAAATACTTTATCCCCTAGTGTCAAATCTTCAGGCCACCGTGGAATAAAGTTTCAAGGGAAAAAGGTGGAAAATAAAAACAAGAAAAAAAAAAGACTCAAAAGAAAACTCTAGTCCATTTGGACGATGAGTACGTCCAACCTGAGAGAGTACCAATTACTCTTGAAGAGTATTTACCCACGGAATTCTTCAAAGATGAAGATGTTGAGGAAGAAATGGTGATGCAATGTTGCATGGCCACATGCAAGGAAGGTGATTTATTTGACCCCGAGGTAAACGAGATTACCTTACATTCTAGACGACGCCTTCCGTCACTTCCGAAAGCTCTACCAAATAAAAAAGTTGTAGAACCCTCATTTTTGAGTCCTAAAGGTCAAGTGCCAAAAGAATCATCCGAAAATGGGGAAGCTATTAAGCGTAGAGGTAACCAAGGGGCACCAGCAAATCAATGGTCTATAAATGCATCATCTCCTATAAAGGTTAAATTTGATGTCCTCGCACATCTAAAATGCATCCCAGCACTTTTGAGTGTGTATGATGCTCTATAGCTGTCTAGAGAGCTTAGCAAGACGTTAATTCAAGCATTGACAAGTCCAGATCTCTACGTTTATTATGTTGAACCAATAGATGCTCAACACTCATTGAAAGTATGTGCTTAATGTATGGCCCACGTTACCTTCACCGATGATGACCTTCAGTTGGGGGTGGAATATCACAACCGTCCTCTTTATGCCATTGGCAAAATTGGAGACACTCAAGAGAATTGAATTATGCTTGACTGTGGTTCAGCTGTAAATCTACTTCCTTTAAAGACGTTTCATGTCATGGATATGTCAGCAAAACATTTTTCACCATCCATACTAATAATTCAAGTTTTAATCAAGTAAGGCAAAGAGCCCTAGGCACTATCGAAGTGAAGATTGAAATTAACGATTTTCACACGGAGGCCATTTTCCATGTCATAGATGTTGATACGACATACAATGCCTTGTTAGGACGTCCATGGCTGCATGTTAATGGTGTCATTCCTTCCACACTCCATCAAGTTTTCAAGTTTTATAAAGACGGGGAGGAAAAGACAATGGTGGCAGACCCAAATCCATTTGGGAGTGAAGAGGTGAACTATGCTGACGTCAAGTTCAATAAAATGACAAATTCTCATTTTTCTACTGATAGCCGAAAGGATTAAGAAACTATAATGAGGAATGAAGGTAGCTCCAAACCATCAACTTCTCAATCATCAAAAGCTTCAAAGGTTATCCGAGTCAAGACAACTTCTAAAAGGGTCCAAAAAGGTCAAGTTTCTATTGCACCGAAGGAAAGATTGATTCTGAAGTATGTACCAAAAGAACAAAGAAAATTAAAAAAAGAAGTTTTGAGTTTAGTTCAAGATACAATGTCGTCACTTACTATAAGTTACACATGTCCTCTTTGAAGAATAAATCAATCAATCCCTGAAGACATTGTAATCTTAACCACATTTGGAGAGGATGAAAGTCAGATAAAGGGATTTATTTTCCTTAAAGAGAGAACATCAAATTTTCCTTCATCATCATCTCCATACAATTTGGGACCCCAAAAGAGTAAAGTTTTCTTAAAGAAGGGGAAAAAGAAAGTCATAACTCGCTAGAAAAAATTATATTCCCAAGACTTCCTCTTCCGAAGTATTAGTTTTCACTGATAAAGAACAAGCTATGTTCACTGAAGATGAGGGTGACAAAAAAGTGTCAAGTTTCAGTTTTTCAATGGCTTGGAGGTTATTCAAAGCCTACATTCCAAAAGTCCAATGTGAACAAGAAATGGAAGTTGAAGCAAAAAATTCAAAGGAGAATTGTCTTGAAAAACGTTGAGGAAGTTAAAGCAGAAGAAAAACTAGAAGGGATTGTCTAAGTCAATTGTGTTTCCCTTTGAAGAAAATCAAACAGCAAATTCTTTGGATATGAAGAGAGGAAGAAAATCCTATTCTAGAAGATGACCCAAAGTTCAAAAATAATGTTCAACTAACACCTCCTCAAATTGAACACGGAGGACAGGCCACTGTTGATGAGCTTCGAGAAATAAATCTTGGTACAGCCGATGATCCTAAGCCTATCTTTGTTAGTGCTCAACTCTCTCTGGAATAATTAAATGATTATGAGCACCTTCTTCGGGAATATCAGGATGTCTTTTCTTAGGGCCATCAAGACATACCAGGACTAGATCCAAAAATTGCAGTACATCGACTAGCTTTATTGGATGATAAATGCCCTATAAAGCAAGGCCAACGTCATTTTCGGCCAGAACAAACTGTAAAAATTGAAGTCGAAGTGGATAAGATGATAAGTGCTGGTTTTATTCGGGAGCTTCTATATCCCACTTGGCTCGTAAATATTGTGCCTGTTAAGAAAGAGAATGGACAAGTGCGCCTTTGCATAGATTTTAGGGATCTAAATGATGCATGTCCTCAAGATGAGTTCCCACTCCCAATTACTGAACTACTAGTGGATGCAACAACGAGGTTTGATGTTTTATCTTTTATGGATGGCTTCTCAGGTTACAATAAAAAAATGGCGCCTAAAGACGAGGAACTCATGGCATTTCGTACTCCAAAAGGAATTTATTGTTACACAGTAATGCCATTTGGATTGAAAAATGTAGGTGCCACTTACCAAAGAGCCATGACAATCATTTTCAATGATTTTCTCCACAACACGGTTGAATATTATGTGGACAATTTGGTTGTTAAAAATAGAAAAAGGGAGTATCATTTGAGTGACCTTAAAAGAGTCTTTGATAGACTCAGAAAGAATCAACTCAAAATGAACCCCTTAAAATGTGCGTTGGGGTAACTTCTAAAAAGTTCCTTGGTTTCATCATCAGGCTCTGAGGTAATGAAATTGATCCCACCAAAATAAAACCAATTACAAAAATGCCTTCTCCTTGCAAGTTACCTGAGTTACACAGTTTATAACAAAAAATGGCCTACACAAGGAGGTTTATCTCAAATTTGTTAGGAATATGTCAACCTTTCTCAAGGCTAATGAAGAACATGTGCCTTTTGTATGGGATCAAGCATGTTAGAATGCTTTTGAAAGCATTAAGGAGTATTTATCAAAAACCCCTGTGTTAATGGCTCCTATAAAAGGAAAACTCCTAATTTTGTACATTGCGACACTCGAATGCTCTCTAGAGGCAATGCTAGCTCAAAACAATGATGATGGAAAAGAAAATGTCTTGTACTACCTCAGTAGGACGCTTGTGAGAGAAGAACACAACTACTCCCCTATTGAGAACATGTGTCTGGCATTAATCTTTTCAGTGCAAAAATTACGGCATTACTTACTTGCCCATCCTATAAGGCTGATCCTTTAAAGTACTTGATGTCCAAACCATTCTTGTCAGGAAGAGTTGGCCATTGGTCTATACTGTTAACAGAGTTTGACATTATGTTTGTACCTCAAAAGGCTATAAAGGGACAAACACTTGTAGATTTCTTAGCAGCTCATCCTGCTCTTGACAACATGCAGTTACTTGATGACTTTCCTGATGACAATGTCTTGCCCATTGAAACATCATCATGGCAGCTTTATTTTGATAGGGCATCAAGGAAACGAGGAGCAGGGCCAGACATTGTGTTGGTGACACCTTTTGGAGGATTAATTTCATATTCATTCTCGTTATTGGCGTTATGCTCAAATAATGCAACTAAGTATGAAGCATTGATCATTGGCCTATAAATTGCACTTGAAATGCATATTGATTGTTTGTAAGTGTTTGGCGATTCTCAATTAATTGTCAACCAATTAAATGATTAGTATGAAGTGAAAAATGAAAATTTGGTATTTTACTATCAAAGGGGTAAATACTTTTGTTTAAATTCCAAGATATCCAGATCAATCATGTGCCTAAGTCAGAAAATGAAAAAGCAAATGCACTAGCTAATTTAGCTACATCTCTAACTCTTCCTGAGCAAAGGGACATCCAAGTCACAGTTGGGGAACATCATTTACTACATCCAGCACTCGACTGTATGGAAGCAACAGAAAGCACAAATTTAATAATTGTTTGTGAAACTGAAGAAGATCCAAATTGGCGGCAACCTTTCATTGAGTATTTCCTAAATGGTAAACTACTGTCTAAGCCAAAAACAAAGGTTGATTTGAGATGAAGAGCCCTTCATTTTGCGTACCTAAATGACACCCTATACAGAAAATCAATTGAAGGAATCCTTCTTAGGTGTTCGTCAAAAGAAGAAGCGGTGAATGCTTTGTATTAAACTGATGTTGATACTTGCGGTGCGCACCAAGCTGGACCTAAACTTGCCAAACAACTAAAGTGATTCGGTTATTAGTGGCCAACCATGGTACAAGATTCAATGAAATTTGCAAAAACTTGGAAAGTTTGTGAGCTGCATGGAGATTTCATACATTAACCCCCTCAATTACTCCATCCAACTATGTTTTCATGGCCTTTTGAGACTTGGGGTCTAGATGTAATTGGCCCTTTTAAGCCCCCATCTTCACATTCTCATCAATACATTTTGGCGGGAACAGATTATTTTTCCAAGTGGGCTAAGGTTGAACCTTTAAAGGATGTAAGGGCATTGGATGTTGTAAATTTTATTAAGAACCACATGATTTATCGTTTTGGGGTTCGATCAAAGATCATCTCTGATAATGCCTTGTATTTCAAAAATCAATCCATGTGAAAATTAATCAAAAAATACATGTTTCGACATGGGCATTCTGCAAGTTACAACCCATC